GACGCCCCTTTCTAGCCGATATGGCTGACTGCGAAGTCATTGAACGATTTCGGCTCTCACGAGCAAGAATGGAGTGGCTCGTTGAGGAGCTTAAGGAGGAATTGGAGAGAAACACGGCGAGTAGCTGCACGCTGGCTCCGGAAACCTACGTAAATATAATTGTTGTTGTTTAATTGTTACAGTTTGAAGGCGTTTGCATACAAGCACTATATAACTGTAAAGTTCTATTTGATTGTTTTTCAAAACCAACAAACGGCGGGAAAAAAAATAAACACTGTCATGTAAACGCCGATCACTCGCCGCGCGTTTCCGAAATGGCTTCTTTGTATGAACATAAAAATTGGTTCCTGTCACGCAAACCTGATCTTACTGCAAGCCAAACCTGTTTCTTGTGTTTTAATTGCAGATATTTTTTACTTTTTTGGGAGGGAGGAGGAAATTAGAAAACAGACATTCTACAAAAAATAAACATAATAGATCTAGAGCGATCGCGAAGAGTCGCATTAGGCGCGGTGCACAAATGCTGACAAATGCTGGTAATAGCATTTCTAGCTAGATGAAACACGAAGAAGCGTTCGGTACGCACGATAGATAAACGAGAATGAAGAACATTAAAATTATTCTCCCCAATCTCATAATTGTTTCAGTCGCATTTCTATTGATCTTAGCGTGCTTTATGCTAGAACAGTCGATTTGGGATCAGTGAAAATTACGCTTGATGTTTGCCGGAGAAAACGATTAAATCACGCCTAAAAATTTTAGTAAGATCCTTCCTTATTCCAAATATTCTCTACACTTACTTAAGCGAAATTCTTATCATTATAAATTGCTGAAATAAGTGTTTGTAGCTAAATTTCAAGTTCTCAACTTCACACTGTTTCCTCGGCGGTCCGCAGATCTTGTTTGATTGCTCAGCGGAACATTTTGAATTAGAATGAATCANTACAAAAAGTAAACATAATAGAGCGATTGCGAAGAGTCGCATTAGGCGCGGTGCACAAATGCTGACAAATGTTGGTTATAGCATTTCTAGCTAGATGAAACACGAAGAAGCGTACTACTCACGACACATAAACGACAATAAAAAACTTTTAAATCATTCTCCCCGATCACATAATTGTTTCAGTTGCATTTCTATTGATCTTAGCTTGCTTTATGCTAGAACAGTCGATTTGGGATCAGTGAAAATTACGCTTGGTGTTTGCCGGAGAAAACGATTAAATCACGCCTAAAAATTTTATTAAGATCCTTCCTTATTCCCAATATTCTGTACACTTACGTAAGCGAAATTCGTATCAGTATAAATTACTGAAATAAGTGTTCGGAGCTAAATTTCAAGTTCTCAAGTTCACACTGTTTCCTCGGCGGTCCGCAGATCTTGTTTGATTGCTCAGCGGAACATTTTGAATTAGAATGAATCACGGAAAAAGACAACACTCCTAGAAAAGAGCGAGATTGTCGATCGAAGTCTTCGAATCGAGCTACAAAAGGCAATTGATCATCCCTTTCAAATAATATGACCATGCAAAATGACGATCTCTCTCAGTTGCTCTCCTCTGACACAACGATAACTTCGAAGTTAAACTTCGCAGTTTTCTTCAAAACAACAGAATCGATCAGAATCGAATGTGTACGTATAGTCCCAAGTGTTTCTCCTTCTCTCGCGAACGAGCGTGAAGCGTGCGCTAGAGATNCAGTTGCTCTCCTTTGACACAACGATAACTTCGAAGTTAAACTTCGCACTGTTCTTCAAAAAGCATCACAGTCGCAACGACAACAGAATCGATCAGAATGGAATGTGTACGTATAGTCCCAAGTGTTTCTCCTTCTCTCGTGAACGAGCGTGAAGCGCGCGCAAGAGATTGGTAACAACCCGTTATTTTATCGGGCCCGGTAAGTACCGGGAAAATTTACGGGTGCTTCGAGAAACGCTATTTCGGGCCCGGTAAAGTTTCCCGTTAACCGGCCCGGTAAGTTATCGGGCCCGGTATTTACGGGAGCTTTCGAGAAACGGGCACCAGTTCTTAACCTATAATCAAGAGATGATTTATTTTCACGATTTTCTCAGTTTATTTACCTTCTTCTCGTTGTGCGTCTTGATTCCATCTCGCAGATCGTTGTGAATCCCACTTGTAACTTTTAAACGTGCTGAAACTTCAAAGCAAATAAGAAATAAAGATCAGAGGCGCTCTTTATTCGACACAAACCAAGATCGATTACTTATCACCAGCTAAGAACGCAGGCTCAGTTTACTGATTCTCTGGGATTCTGTTTGGATCGTAAAAGGTATTTGCTAAGCTCGATTTCCGCCGCTCTCTCGTGTCTGGTATACGTTCCTCCTTCCAGGGAGGCTCCTTTCCCGAACAGCGGCTGATAATCGAGCCTAGATATTTGTTCCTCATACTAAATAGTACACAAAGCCAATTAATTAATCACGTACTCTTTTCTGGATGCGGACGTGACTTTTCTTGGAGGCCGTGGTTTTTCTCGGGAAGAGACTAAAAAAGAAACATTAAAAAAGTTACAGGTCGATAGATTAGACACTTTTTCAAAATTTGCACGTAACAATGATGACAACGACAGCAGGAGTTTTCCTGTCTGGCTTTTCAACTCAACAACAACAACAACAACAGATTAGATTCTAACGTTTTTGATCCAAGTCATTATCCTCAGATTCAGGCTGGTCCTCGTCTTCTCCCACATCATAGTCGTCCTCTTTATTAGCTGTCTGAAGCTTCATCTTCCTCAGTGAGCCTCGGTGAACCAATCGACTGCGGCTTCGCCTGATAGAGGGTAAGTACTGCGAGGACGGGACAGCTTGTGATTATTACATGACAGAGTATCAGTTCGTTTATGCCGGCTGGGCAAAGGTCTCAACCTCGTTCCCAGGGCCTCCCTTCAGGGGGTGGGAAAGAAGAGAGATCTTGGAAACGAGGTTGCAAAGGTCTGTGGACAAAACAGCCTAATGGACAGGGAGTGTTGCTAATCTCACTAGTCCATCCCCACTCTCCCTTCCTTTCCACTCTACATGCATCATTGTGGTTAGAAGATTGTCATTGCAAGAAGATTTGTTACTTCACATCACGACTTATGCGGATTACTATTCATACTTACCGTCGGAAATTCAGACACTTTTCGGTCACTTGGGTCAATCATGTCCGATAACGCACTAGTATTAGTCTGGCAAATACAATAGAAAAAAAATCAATAAAACAACGTTGTAAAGAGAATTGCAGCACTTTTGCATGGGTTTCTCGGGTTTAAAGATGAGTAAAAGCTGTTACTCAAAGCTACAAACAAGAAGGTCAAATTAACACAAATAAAAGATGCCTGTAGAACATCGAAGTGTTACCTCCAAATCTCGGACGTGCATGCTCGCTAAAGCGATCTCCTCCACACCAAACACGTTCAATTCAGCAGACCTGTTACAAATTCACAGGTAAACAAACTTGCTCGGTATTAATAACAGTATTTATGTGCTCCAACTTCTATTAAATGATCTCTATACTTTTCCTTACAAAGTATACGCCTCTCTTTATCTCGGACCTCTCAATCTAGAGTACAACATAACATGACCATAAGGTCACTACGTCAGAAGTGGGGATAGGCCCTTTGTAGGATTCGGTCACATGGTACAAAATCAGCCATGCTGGGATGCAAGTTACACAGTGGGACTTCCAAAACAAAGGAAAGTCAAGCTGGACTTGTTCAAGTTGCTTTGTTTTGAATATTTCCCACTGTGTAAGATCTGGCCCATTATGGTGACTTTCAGTACGGCGTGACCGGATCGCGCAAAAGAACTCTTACAAGGCACTGATAAATTTAGTTCTGCGCCCCAGTAATGTTGTTCAAAGGGTGTATAATGCTGTCCGCCGGATAAATCACTTTCCAGTGGATAGCATGGTTTATTTTGCCAACACTTCTCCACTGGATATCGATTTGTTTGGTGGATAGCGTTATCCACCCTTTGAACAACTGGCCCCAGGTGGATTAAAATGGGCTATTTTGCAGTTGCGAGGTTAGCTACCTGGTCTGTGAATGCAAGCAAGGCTGGAGGTGACCTTGCTTTAATACAGAACTCTCTGTTTTGTTTTTCTCATTTAAATGCACCTAGTTAGCATAAGAACAACTTGATTTACACAACAAAAGCAGTGAGGTCTTTATCAAAACAAGGTCACCACCAGTCTCGCTGCCATTTAAAGGCCAGGTCACTGAACAGACAACTGTAAAATGGTCTATCGTCATCACCTTGCACTTGATAATCTGCGGTATGGCACGCAGATAGCGCTCCTATGCGCAAACAAATCCTCCACTACCGCTGGGTTATTGGTGATCTTTTGCTGTCCTTGTGAGGCTGAATTCTTATTCGATGACAACTCTGATGCCGGAGGGATGTCTGGAACTTGCTCGGAAGTTTCATCCATCTCTGATGGTTTGTCTTTCTCTGGTTGAGATGAGCTCTCTAAATAAAATCAGATTCATGACCATAATTGCAATTAGTTTGCTGCAATCAATGTTCCCTTCATCGTGACATGCTCAGTAAAAAGCAGTGGGAATTTATAAAGTTAATTCGCAACCTCGTTCCTAGGGAAGACAAGAGACCCTGGGAACAAGAAAAACCCTTATCAACTTGTAGCCTGCGAACAGGCTCACCTTTGAGTCACGCGCGTGAGCGGCGAAGAGCAAAGCGATCCGGCCGGAAGGAGCCTGGTGAAGAGGCGCCAAGAAAGGTCTCAACTTCGTTCCCAGGGTCTCTCTTCAGGGGGCCGGAAAGAAGAGATTTCGCGCAGTAGCGCGCGCTTGTGCTCCAACGTGAGCCTGCTCGCAGGCTAATCAACTTGTGGCTAACTTGTGAATTATTTCTATCATAATACCACGGGTGTTATCACTTAACTCCTACACTTCCATCTTTATTGCCACAAAAAGTCGGAAGTCGGAAGACAACTTACAGAAGTTCTCTCTGATGATGCCAACACGTGACTTTGCAGTTTTTAACTGTGAATATATGTTCTTTAGAACAGTTTTCATTTGCGTGTCGTAAAACCAAAACCACAGTAATCACCCTAGCAAATCAAAAAGGACAAGCAATCTAGTGAACCAATCAAAGCTCGAAGTAATTACGTGTAGCTGACGCAAAGGGCGGGAAAACGCGTGCGGGCGAGTCACGATCGTTTTTGGTTTCATTTCTGATTGGATGAAAAAGTGGCGCGAGATTTTTAAGCCAATCTTGTAGCGTAGTTGATGCAAAACCAATCACCTTTCGACACTAAAGGGAAAACCGCTCTACTTTGATTAACTCACAGTAAGAACTAGAAATGTTAACAAATGATAACTATTCTATCCTCGTGTCCCATACACAACAGGTCACAACAACGAGGAGCCATTTCTTTGAGATTCGCAGTTACTTGTTTCACGGTTTACTACATTGACAGAAATTTACAGCAAGTAAAACACTATTACTTTCTTCTCCTGTATTTTCCTGCGCGTGTTCCTCGTTATTTTCTGTTGTAATGTCTTTGTCTGTTTTCTCGTCAGCTGGTTCATCTGCACTGGTTTTGCTCTCTGCTGCGGTTGATTGAGGGGAACTTAACGTCGGTTTGTGATCACGTACACAGCATCCCTGTTGACAACACAAATACACTTCAACTTTGCCTAGTTTCTGTACGGCTTTCTCTCAGGTCTTCACGGTCAATTCACTTCGGTGTCGTAGCCGAGACAAAGGGCTGGACCATGTGGTCCAAAAGGGATTCACCGCGGCGAACTATTGAGGCCTAGGAACTTTGCAGCACTTCAACCAGTTTCGTAAAATCGAGAGCTGAGAATAGCGACAAACAGACAGCTGATCTGATGTTTCGCTTTATATAATCCTGACGGTTTAGCTTACACCATTCTTTGCCGGTTCACCACGCAGCCCACTAGCTATTATACAAACATTAAAACAACCAAGAAACTTACAGATGTCTCTAAAGACGGATCAAAATGCAGGACTCGCTGCTGACAACACGGGTACACCCCAACTATCTTAGTAGCCGTACACTCCATGTTTCCAAAATCCACAGCCATTGGGTGATAAATACAGTGACCCAGCTCTGTGCAAGGAAAATAATCACCGCACCGATGGCAGTAGAGAATATTCACTGTGCCCCATAATCTGTGAAGAAAACAGGATGAGTGTGTCACCCAGAAATCTCTTTGCTTTGTTCTCTTTGCTTTGTTCACGTACAGCGTACTTCAACCAATCAAAGCGCAGATGTTGTGTTCTCAACCAATCAGGTATGTGTTGAAGATCGTGACGTATGTAACTGTTCTGGCGCTTGCCGCCGTCTGCGCGTTTCTGAGCTCTGATTGGTTGAACGCTAACCATGTGATGGTCTCTGTGGTGATTTTCAGTTTGTTTTCATAGTAAAGCATGTATTGTCAAAAAAAGAAATGCTTAGTCAGGTAAATGAAAATCATATAAAAGTTTAACCTTTTTACAACACATTTAGGTCGAAAAACTATGGTAATTAAGGACACTATCATCTCAAGTAAAAAATTGTCGATTAAAAAGAAAATTCCTCCAAGAACATTTCTGAAATTATTCGAAAAACATTGAGGTAAATTTGACACTGGTCTCACCTCCAGTAAACCTCTTTCCAGGATTTCACTTCTTCACGTAAACCAAGGAGGTAATCATTTACATCCCAACTAAAATCTCTGTATATGAAAAAAACATAAAGAAATTAAAAACGAGAACAAAACGAAGAAATTTGAGTTAAAAAACGATCGCTTTATCAAAAAAACGCGATCACATCAATAAAAATACTAAATAGCTTGAAGTTATGTCACTCGTCTTTTTGTCCCCCAGCGTCCCTCAGGGGAAGGGAGAGAAGAAGGGGCTGAGGCGATGGATCAAACCCCCCCCCCACGGGAAAAAAGTGTTATTACTTACACTGGAACCGGTTAATACGGTCACCAACGGGCCATGAAAATTTGGTCGTATTACTGAGGTGGGCGTATTAACGGGTAGGGTCAAATTTCAAGAGTGGTCTATGTTGAATGACATGTTAAGATATATATCACAATTATAAGTACATACAAGATTAACAATGGGAAGATGAACATAACTGGTTTGCGTGGCCGTATAAATGGGGTAAAATTATAAACTTAAGGATTATCCAAGCTTATCCAAGTTTGGGTTTCAGAATGTGGCCGTTGGCCGTATTAACGGGGTGGCCGCATTAACGGGGTTTTCTTATAAGTAAATGTTTGGGCGTTTCGCCGAGACAAAAAACGTGGCCGTAATAACGAGGTGACCGTAAGGCGCGGTTCCACTGTACTCCGAAGATCGAACTAATTCTTCTTGGTCACCAGGTTAAAAAATTATAAACTGGGGGACAATAACTGGGCCTGTATTAATATTCTAAGAAATTGTTAGACTTCACGATCAAACACAAAGTTTTAAAAGCTTTTGTTGATGACAAACAATGAGAGAATTTTAAAGATTTGGCATTTGGAGTAAGAGGGTTAACAACTTCTAAAGAAACTCTCGACTGGGTCAGCAATCACTCACTTTAATAAGACTCGTAGTCAAATCTGCCGAGAAACGAAATCTCACCGTGAATGAACATAAGACACCTTTCCTCTGTGATTTACCATCATTCTGTTTGGAACACATCTGAGTTTGCCTTGTGATTCTGCAGTCAGAAGCTTTCCACAAGCAATGCACCTAGCAAAATATTCAAGCCAACAACATTTACGTTTGCAAGATTGTAAAATTTGTAGTTGTTTCTCTTTCCGCACAGAAGGGAGGGGCACTCCAATATAAAAGCTATAGGGGTATGTGCCGCTGTGAAGGGTATGGTTTTCAGGCAGTTTAGTCTGGGATAGGGTATAGAAATCAGAAACGTTTCGTCTAGAATAGGATATTAGGGAGCTTAAGCAAACCACGACGGCAACGGCAACGAAAACGCCGTCACACAAAAGGTTTAATGAGCAAAACAATAGCTGTGCACGTGCGTTATAAATCTTTGTACATTTCTTTGCCGTCCTCTGCAAAACAACAACGTGAAAAGACCAAGTTTTGGGTATTTTGAAGAACGTGAGCCACGACGGCTAATATTTCGTATTTTCTTCTAAAATTATTCACTGGCGTTACATCTTTAGTTTGAGTAGCGTTTTAGACCGCTCGGCTTGCAGAACAGTTCTAGATAATTGCGAAATTCAAAGGTAAAATTTAAGTCCATTTTTTTCCAGCCGCCGTCCTTGACGTTGCCGTCGTCATTGCGTAAGCTCCCTATAATTTACCGGACAAGTGGCCAGTGTATAAATAATTTAGTCCAGACCAGCGTTCTTTACGGTCTGGGGTTCTACCGAGGTTCTGTGAAGCAGATGTCCTGGCTCTAGCGAGTTTTTTTCATTGACAAGCTACTCATTCGTGAAATCTTGTGTGATTTCGCTTTCGATTTCTGCTACCCTGTCCAAACCTCTCTTGTAGCGAAGCAGACGTTTATAACATTTAGAGCGTCAAATGCAGGCGGCAAGATCGCTCCCGACGTAAACGGACAGATTGACTTTTGTTGAATGTAGGATTCAACATACTTTCACCTTCTCCTCACTGGAAACTTTTTATTTGCATTTATTGCATAGAAAACAAAACTTGCACGTTGAAATCTTATTGGTTATTTCGCATTGTGAAACAATTCCACATTCTAAAATTATCGCAGGTTTCCGGTTCTCGCTGGCAGCATCTCGCGTGTACGCGAGTGTCATATTCTATCGGGGAAGTTTACTTGCAAACAACAAAACAAAAGTTTGACGTCACGAAAATTGATCTCGCAGATATTTTGTTTCTCAGCGCGTGAAATAAGACCCCCCAAAAATCAAATACTCTAACTAGCCCTGTTTTATGGAACGTAATTTCTGCGTATAGCAAGAACTGGTTTTTCTGTTTCCGGATTTCAGATTCCAGAATCAGGAGTCCATGATCAGGAGTCCACGTTACATTGCGTTACGTTGCGTGGGCTGGGTTGGGTTGGGTTGGGTTGCGTTGCGTGGGTTGCGTTGCGTTGCGGTGCCAAAAAGAAACAAGGGGGTTTCAGTCATTACATTGTCCAATCGAAAACTCGGATGAGCATGACAGAAGGTCTACCATGAGCTTTCAGAACATGTCATGTTGCAACATCCGCACTGAAAACCTATGGGTTGGACAATGCTTGTTCCACAGACTTAAGGTCTAGTTGTCCCTAGTAAGTTTGATTGGATGTTTTGTTGGCTGTTACAGGTTGTTCATGATCAGCATTTTTTCAGTCTTCTATTTACCTAAACAAGGTGCTAGCATTTGACGATGAACTTGATGATAGTCTTGGATCAAACAACTCCTCTATTTTCTTGCAAAACAATTTGCTGCAGGGAAAAACAACCAAAAATGCCAGTAAAGACTTGCACAAAGTTATCTACTGAAGGTGGTAGTGAAGGTCTTTTCTCACTGCATATGAATTTTGTGTAGGTGACTAGCAGCCCGGGGGGCACTGCCATACAAAGTACCTCCCCCGGGACTAGCAGTTACCTTGCAAAGACACAGATCAACAGCATTAGCCAAGAATCAATTTACATGTAGAACTACATCTCAATGAGAAAAACAAAACTTATAAACAGATAATTCAGCTTTTTATGCACGTTGTCTACTAAATCCATGTTCTCATCTAAGTCTCTCATCTCTGTGCATCTGTATGACATTTAATTGTACAATCCTATGTCTTGAGAAACTGACCTTTTAAATTTATCCTTGCGATCCTTAATTGCCTCCAGCTCATTGTGATTAAAAAGCTTTGCCATTCTTAAAGAGAGTCCAGTTAAAATCATAAAATTAATCAAAATCTCAAGGCAGTTATACTGTAATCTCTGAAATACTTCTTTCACAAGCACAGTTTGCTTAGTTTAGATTTTCAAGTTCCTGTTTCTTTGAATTTTTTCAGTAAATAGAAACTTTGTGCTATAAAGAGAGAAGTACCAAACCTGCAGGAAAAAAATTGAACTCCACTTGTCTAAATGGTCACCCTGTAGGCTGGTTCAACTGGTTACATATCAGTGGTGTAAAATTTGGGAGCTATGTCAACTTGGTGGAAGATGTATTAACTTGTCTCTTTCATGTTTCCACCTATGTTAATGTAACTTGTGCCATGATGCAAAGTCATCAGTTTAATCAATGATTTGATTAACTCTAACTACTTTATTTTCTCTCAATTGGCTGCCTGTGAATACAGTTGTCTCCCCTCACTCCCAGGCGGCTGTAATTACAGGCTAGCTGACTAGAAACACCAAGGAAAAAATTCCATGAGGCTTATAACTTTCACAGACTTCAAATGTGAAAAAAAAAAATGTTCAAATGTTGTTGTTTATAGTGGTCAATGCGCTTAGCTACACTTAGCTAGTTCACAGGCATGCCACTTTAAATGAAGGAAAGAAATATATCAACTAAACGTAATAGGCTTAAAAATCCCAACCGGCGGGAGGCATACCAGTTGGCTATTTACAAGCATGACTGAGGAGTTGAACTAGAGTCTACCGAGAAACAACTCCAGCTGAGTGGTCAGAGCGGGACTTGAGCCCGCAACCTCTGGATTTCAAGTCCGGCGCCCTAACCACTTGGCCACGCTGCCTCCTTCTGGTGAACCATTGAAAGACCACCTATAAGCACACACAAAGGCATGCTGCAGAGCACTTGTACATGTACGTGATAAAATTTTCCCATGTGACTGCATTCTTTCCACATACCTGGTGACGAGCTTGTCATTGATGCAGTTCATGTTACAGGGTGTGGCTACAATAGACGTCATATTCTGATGACAGAAGTCAATGCACTCAGTTACCTGAAATAGATCACCACACAAAGACTCAGGAAATATGCATTTTACTGTGTCACACTAGTCTTCAATCTGCAAATATTGATTTCAGGTTTGAAAGTACATAGTTTTTTTATAAAACTAATTTCATAATTAACGTGTACCTACCAATGCATCCATCTTTAGAAAATCTGATGATATCAAGATAGATATGACATTATTTGGTTCTGTGGGGACAAAAAATACATGTATTTCAAATTTACAAAAGGTACTACATGTATATAATCCAATTATGGCAATTCACACTGATATATGATTGAACAAATCAGTGGAAAAAGGCATAGCTTGGGAGAGGAAGGAGCAAAAGACAAAAGAGGAGGGAAATGTGGGAATGTCGAAAACTCATAACGGAAACACTACGAACAAACCATACATTAAACCAACAAAGAAAAAAATGTACAAGCAAAAGCAGGGCCAAAAGCTAAGCAGAAGCCTGGCTGCTAATCCACTAGTAAACATTAAACACACTAAATATTACACCAAATTGAAATTGAACTTGAGGAAAAACTAAGTTCACTAAGTTCATACAGTTTTCAACATTTCTTGGAGGGGCGTGGCAGTCCCCCATTCTCCAGAGAATGGTTAAAAACACATAACAGAAAACAAGGTTTTATTTTTTCTTTTTGAGACTGTTTTGACAAGTGTTACAAATGCTTCTGACCTGCAATGTAGCATCCCCTTTGATGCTTTGCTTTTTTTGATACAATACATTGTATAGAGTACTTCCAACAATTTTAACAGTAGGTTTGTTATGCAATAGGCTCAATTTGCTGTTCAAGAAGTCCTCACCAAGTTTGGGTTTTCTTTCTTCAGATGTCGACTTGTTCTTGTCATGAAGCCGTCTCTTGACATATTTCATCAGCCAATCAAATATCTGTACATCACAGTGCACAGAAATATCTACCTCCTCCCATCTCTGGGCTTCCACTGACAGATACTCCGCAAAATATCTCATCTCACTTATCAGCAGATCCCTTGGGCAAGTGAAGTCCTGTTTCACTGGACAGGCCAATAATTAAAAATGTGTAAAAATTGATAATGTTATTACTAAAATCAGTAAAAATTGTATCGCAAAATACTTGTTACTAATAATTAGTAGTACATTATTTTTTTAGTAATAATATAAACATGAGTGTTTTACTGGAAAATACACCACTCGTAAAACTCATACAAAACTGGAGGGTAACAAGTTATTAAAGCTCAGTGAGTAATTAAGAATTGGATTATTACCAGTTAAATAATAATTTTGGTAATTAAAAATAAAGTTTTACTTACAGTTCTTGCTTTCATCACACACATGGATCACCATGTTAGGCCTACAGGCAAGAAGCAATAAAGAGAGTTTCAGTAATGCAGCCTAGATTCCACTGTGGATATGATTAATCAAATGTTATCATAATGGCATATCAGGAGATTCAGATAGTAATACATTAAGGTAGGAATGTAACAGAACTTTGCAAAAAATTGAATTTACATTGAAGGGAACATATTTCACTCACCCTTGCAATGACTCTATACTAGAAACCTGTGATCTGGCTGATGAAGCCTGCCTGGGAATCGGCCTCTGTACAGGAAAAAAATAACCCAGAGCATATACATTTATGGTACATAACATTATTCAACCATTCATACCGGAAATGATATGTACAATCTAGAATTTCTTAAATTCTTGTTATAAAGTACAGAATTAGAGAATAAGTGACTGTTGATACCACCACCACTTGCACTGTCTCCCTTTTCCAAAACAATTTAAAAAAACCAAAATGAGACAGCCAAATTAATTTGGCCAATCAATTTAATCAATTTTCAGAGAATGTTTCATCAATAACTAAAGATATACTGCACTGTTGCAACATAGATTTGGGTAGATATAATCTTAACAAACTAACATTTTATTAATAAGTAGTATATCAGGGCTAACTTTTTTTCACTAAGTGACAACTTAAGAGCTTAAACATACATTACTTTATGATAAAACAACAAAAGTACCTGCTTAGATTCTCTGCCAGTTTCCTGGTAAGATGTTACTTCAGATGTCCTGAAAATTTAGTGTAGAGTTAAAAATAAAATGGGAAAATGAAAAATGTAGTAATTACATCAATTTTCTATTATTATAATAATTATTATTATTATTAATATTATTATATAAATTAGCTAATTAGTTTATGTAGTAGGTCTGCAACAGTCCTTTGGCTTCTACCATTTCAACCTATTTGTCAATTAAACTACCGATATATCAGGGCTGTCATTAAGGGCCGTAAGCCATAACACCTGTTACGGCTGAGTATGCTTAATCTTCCCTTGATGCTATGGGTGAAATCCCCTGTTGCTTAGAGAATTCACCCCCAAAGTAACAAATTTGCTATGGGTGTGGAGAATAAGGCTACAGGTGACTAAAAAATTAATGACAACCCTGTACATGTAAACTAGATATCAAAACCATGTCATTATTCATGTGTATGTTTAATTTTTAGAACTGAAAAAATATTGAGAAGATCAATCATAAGACTTACAAGTTTGATTACCTTTCATGGCCTTCGCATCATCACATCAGAAGCAACACAAAAATTATGGTGATACAAGAGAAACCCAAAAAATGAAATTAGTAAATGTACAAATTTTCACTGTTTAAACACTCTGGACCTTGTTACAATTATATTTACTTGGAGGCCTTAGACAGTGTTCCAGATAATTGAGGGGTCTCAGGTCAAAACCCCCACAAGGTCAGCTACATGACCCAACAAATTAATAAAGAAAATTGTCAGTAATGATCCTCGTTGGCACCCTGCCTTCAAAAACTTATCTGGAACCCTGCTTAGAGAGTGGTGGTCATGAATTATTTGTCCCGCAACTTGACCATAAAAGCAAGTATTTCATGCATAAATTATACATGTATATATTCTACATTCAAGGGAAGCAGTAATTGTTTGAAAAGGTCCAGGATAAGTTCCAGCTGCACTTTGGCCTGAGGATGGTAAATTACCTTAATACAATTAAATAAACCTGTATATGCTAACTAATAGGTCTGAGCAAGATAGTTCTAAGTCAGTGTGTAGTCCCAGAAAATACATCCATACCTCCCTCACAGACGGGATGTTCTTCTAAGAAACCCTCAGCCCACCCCTCTGGAAATTCCATTAGTTAAGCTTCAAACATTTCTTTAAATTTTTTGGGGGGTTTTCAGAACCTCTGGCACCCCTCAGGAAATTCCAATCTCTTCTGTAGGGTCAGAATATGGATATTTTCTGGAACTGCACAATACAATCAGTCTAACCTGGATCATGATCAGCAGCACTTTGTTCCTCTATACAGTTAGCTTCTCTGGTAGCTGGTTGAGAGTTTGTTCTAATCGTCCCCTGTGTTGCTGTCACACTTGCTGATTCTTTATCATCAGCAAAATGCAGGACAGAGTTGAGGAAGCTGGAAAGGTTTTTGGAACCAACAGATGAATGCATCAGGGAGGGATTAATCGTACTTAGTGCTGAGGTCTGCTGGATTTCTTTCCACCTTTTGGCACACTGGAAAATATTTATAAAAATAAGATAACTACACATCCACTTCTCATTTATCAGTGTGTATTCAAAAATTATTGTTGATATATGATCCAAAAATAACCTGCATTGACACAGACATCACTTATCAAAATGCCCTGACGTTTCCCTGACTTTTGATTTGTACTGGTAAAAATACAATTTCCCTCAAATAAATGCAAAATGTCAGATCTAGTAGTGGCTTCTGGAATGAACTTATAGCTGTCCTTTCAACTCATTCAATAGGACTGGTAAGTTTTCAATAAATTCTCCTTCTTCATAAAGTAAAAATATCTTTAGTTAGTGATCACAGTGACTCCAAATGTTTCTTCTAGCGTTCAATGGTATTAAATCAGCCATATTAAATTATTTCAATTTTCCCTGACTTTTCTTCAAAATGTCAATTTTCCCTGACTCAAAACAAAATTCTCTGACTTTTCTCTGAACTTGAATAATTTTTTTTCCCAAACCATTCCTGACCTGTGGCAACCCTGGCATTGATGTAAGCTCGTCTAATGTCATAGCACTATCTTCAAAAAGTCTGCAGGGTGTTTAGTAGCAGAGCATCTCTGCATACAGATACATATTTATTTTTAACAAAGCCACATTTAGCCTATTACAACAACAGTCACCTTTTATGAAGAATGTATAAGCTTACGTATGAGGGAATGTTTTTAGAATGATATGCAGAACACAAAGTAAGATAATGTGGTATTTTGTCAGTGATTGCAATCTATTTGATTAGATCTTGGATAAAATTAAAATATCAAACCTGCTGTGGCGTGCTTCCTGGAATTAACTTCGCTACTCCTTCCCAGTTTTTGCTCTCTGACTCCCTGAACTCCGAAGAATTCATCAAAGTTCTCAGCATTAAATCCACTGCCAAATTTTGGGACATCATTAATGTTTGTTTTTGGCTGCAGGGAGTTAAAACTTGAACAACTTTCAGTGCATGTTGATCTTATCCCCTTAAGCTTCTCCCATCAAAGAAGAACATGATATCAGAGAGAACGACATAATCTGGACCAAAAGTAGCATAACGAAAAGTGGAAAATTGTTTTCAATGGTTGCGAAGTCTAAAAGTCACCGACGGACGCCATGTTGTATCCAAGCAGCTTTTTAGCCTCCAACCCTCCTCGGTCAGATATCCCTCGAAGACCAACACTTCGCGCGCTACTTCGCGCGCGTAAATTCGACTCGCACGTTGAACGCGAGTTAGCTGTTATCCATTTTACTCTGTTTATTATTTGGCCAAGAAAGGTTTCGAAAAGAAAGAACATAAATCAAATATTTTCATTTTCCCTGAGTTATGGTTGCAAAACTTAGAAAGGATTTTGCCCATCCCTGAAATTTTCATTAGCGTAAAATTTGATACTTTCTGAGCTAAAAGTCAACCAAAAACAAGCTATACCTTGAGTAAACCGACATTGTAAAGAATGTGAGTTTGCTCAAAGGTCAAGAAAAGTTAGCCCAAGTCTTTTGGACTATAATAATAATAAAAAATACTAAAAGACTACAAACTGACTACAAACATCCACCAAGCCAATCGGATTACAGCATTTAATTCATATTGATTGCTCGGGGTAAAGCTATTGGCGACTATGGTACAAGCTGTGATGAAAGGGTAACATTTTTTTAAGAAAAGTAGTGGCTGATGTATACATGTAAAGATTTAATTAAGCAAAAGAGCAACGTGGAGAACAGCTTAAGACAGAAGTGCTCTGTAAAGAAAGTTTGATTTTTTCTCCTCTATGAGTAAATATTTAAAATTCAAGTCAAAATTTTTTAGTTTATTGAAGAGCTTGCAATTAACGAGTGAACCGCCCATTACGTTTTGTGTTCAAACAAAGTAATTAACACTTTAACATCCATTCGACCCGATTCGAAAAAGTGCTATGCTGTTGTCCTATATCCTTTATGATCAACTTGCCTTTTTCTTTAAAGAATATTACAGGCATAACCGTGTTACTGCGCGTATTTGGTAGCACTTTCAACTTTCAGTTACGCGCTACGTGTGTGTTCGTTACGTCAATACGCGTGGTGAATCGTGTGCCGCAAACGTGATCGCGTAGTACCTCGTTATTATTGCCGTCAGAAGAGGTGTCACTTTTATGCAAAACTACTGAGTTGTAGTAAGTACCGACAATAATTGAACTCTCACAATAGATGCATTTTATATGCAATTACAACGCTACCTATAAAATAATCATTTCTGCAAATGAACCTTTTCTTTTACTCATTTCAAACTTGAATGGATTGCAGATGCTCCAAATTTGCCATCATCGTTAAAAAAAGTTTTCTAATTAGTAAGTCCAAGAAGTCAGAAGTACCAATGTTGTCAGTAGTGAACGTAAAACTATATGCCCCCGACTTGTAAACCTCGAACTTTAGATTAAAATTTGATATATTTTCCTCAGGCTACGATCTTTTCGTTATTGAAAAATCAACCTGTTATTAATAATGAATGCATTTGGTGTTTTAATATTTCTTTTACTGATTTATACTGGAAATTAAAAGAAGTTTTTACTGCCAGAAGACGTTGTGAAGCTGTCTATATTTTGTATTAATATTTGTGGGACGTCCAAGAGAAAACTGGTCTGGGTTCGATGAGAAAAAAGCGCATCTTACGAGTTCTCATGGAACACAGATCACCCCACACTAAATAACAGCAAATTATTTTTAGCCATTCAGTTCCACTTCGCTCCTTTCTCGTAAAAAGTAATTTACAGAACAAAGGAGTTAATGCAAATTGATGGGAAAATATACAGGTGGCTTTGCTTCATTTATAACATCACTAAAATCACCTTTTGTGTTAAATGTTTTACCCACGCAATTGGCACGTTTTAAATTTAGAAAACTTCCAGTTGTCAGGAACAGATTCACTTGGTCTTGTTGCAGTGAAGCGGACCAAACATGAAAGGTGAGCCAGGTTTCAACTGTTTTTCCAGTTGGATAAAAACCGGAGATAGAAACGTCAATTTAATCCTTTTTCGACAAGCAAAGTTCAGAAAGGCACAATCGTGAAATGCGTTTTTAAATATTGTTTACTGGTCAATTCCGCCAGAGTTAACGAACTTTACATGGTCTTCCACAGCTTTCAACTAACCGCACTGTTTTGTTGGTTTTAAGACCAATATTTTCAAATATAGGGTAGTGTGTTCCCAAATGTTTAAATTATTACTTTATATATAGTTTTTTTTTTT